CTTGCTTTCTGTTCTTCACTATCCGCATTTGTGAATTCTTTTGCTTTATCTTCTTCATTTCAGTTTTCTTTTTATTGCTCTGATTTTCTTGATATTGTTGTTATGGAGTAAGAAATTCATCCTTTTTCCTACTTCCACAGTTTAAATCGTTTGTTTATGATATTTTCAGTTGAAACAAGAAGAAATCAAAAGACAAAGTGAAGTTGATATTCAAAGGCAATGAAAAATTTGAATCACCTATTAGAACTAGGGGTGTGCAAATTAATGGTTAAACCAATAACCCTACTGATAATTGAGTTATTGGATTAATGATTTGGGTTATTGGTTTAACGATTTGATTATTGGTTTACTATCCCAAGTTATTGGGTTATTGATTCGGTTATCGGTTTGACCATTTTTTAACGGGTTAATCAATAACCCGATAATAATTTATTAAATTATCATTTTAGCTTTCAATATATGAAGTACCTAAACAAGAAGATAAAATGGGTGTCGATGAAAAGTGAAGGAGATGGTATTTTAATTTAAATTAAGTTGATTGTTTTAGTTGAGTTAGTTCTATTATGCTTTTTCTCTTTTCACCCACTTTTTTCTAGTTAAACATACTTATGACTTATGAGATTTTTCATGTGAGATCTTACCGGTTAACCCAATAACCGAATAGATAACGATCAATAACCGATTAACCGACATCTTAACAATTCTTTAACGGTTTAGCATGTCTACAAACCGATAACCGATAAGTAAAACTGATAACTTTCAAAATCGAACCGAACCGATCGATACGCAGCCAACTATGTTAATTAGTTTAATAATGTTGTTTATACCCAATGCAGAAGGTGGAGACCGTGGCGTATGAATTTGTTACCACCTTACCTGATCTTTTTTTAATTATTCTCGTTGAACTAGACCGTCATCTCAACTTTGCAGGGCCTAATAAAAACTGAATTTCGAAGTATGGAAGTAACCTCACTATTAGGTGTGTTGAGTGGAAGAATTGAGTTTGTACTTGAGCCAAACTGCGAATAAGAGTTGGAAACTACAAGCCAAGTCTTGATCAGCTCTATTTTTCATCCTCTTTTGTGTCAAGATGACTAACGAATTCATGAAATTGAGCTATGTAAAGATTCTACATTTTAGCAAACCTAATTTATTCACAACTATAACTTATAATTCATTTTGGCTGCAAATAAAAGAACAAAATAAATCTGATGTGATCAATAGAATATTTAAGGCGAAAATACAAGAATGATATAGACACATTAAGTGTAGAATTTTATTTGTACTCTTTTATTGGGTAAAAGTGCTGCAGTTACTTCAGTTTTTTAAAAAATAAAAATTTAATTTATTTTTACAACATGGGTGAAGACATTATTAACACTTGCATGCACTGCATAGTTTTGTTATAAAAATCAAACAAAACTTTTCTTCTCATCTTATGAAGACGTCTTTATTTTTCCTTTACTTTCTTTGATGGAAGTTCAAATTTTGTTATAAAGAAAATTATCACATCAAAGAGAAAGTGGCATCTCTTTTTTTATATTTTACCACCTTTGGTACTTGGGGCGGATTTACATGGAGGTGTGAGTTTATCGGAAAATTATATTGTATATATAAGGTTAACATTCAAATTTTATGACTGTATATTTTATAAGGAACACCTTAAAATAATTAAAAATTTTAATTTAGTGTTTAAGGGGGTTCAAATTTTTTCAAGAATTGTAGGTTCAATTCTTGTCCACTATATTTTTTCTTCATTTTATTGCTTTGGCTTTTCCCAGGGGTGCAGGTTTTGGCTTAGAATCAACACCCAATAAAAAGTTTTCATTATCTTGGAATTCAATTGGCAGCCTTATTCTTCTCTCTCTCTCTCTCTCTCTTGTATTATATTTCTCCTTTCCAACATTTATACATATTTATTAAGCTCATTTTTTTTTATTTTTGCATTTTATTCTTTTTATTTCTGTTGCTCATTTTGTTTTTATTTTACTCTCTTTTCATGTACTAGCTCCAAGAAATACTTTAAGAAAATAATGAATTATTATTAAACTTGAAAATTGAGATAGAATTTTTTTTAAAAAAAGATAAGGTAAATTAAATTTAATCAAATTAAGAAATTTAAAAGTTGTAAAGATTCCTTTAATGATATCTATTTAATTGAATTTACTTTCTTTGATTTTGTGATATATCTTTCCGATTTTTTTCGATTGGAAAAACTGAACTAAACTAAACTTATTTGATTTGTTCAATATTTTTTATTTTTTTCAAATGAATAACCTGATAAATTGAATTAAATGAACTCAAAAATTGGCGAAGCCATTTATTTATCTTATGAATATGTATTATANTCCTTATACATTTTTAAAGAATTTTGCGTACTTTTAAAATAATATATTATTGTATTGACATTAATTCAAAATTAAAAAACTTTAAAATCAAATAGAACACTACAAAGTAAAATTAAAATAAAACACAAAGAAATTTTAAAAAAGCTCAATGGAGTAGAGTGAAAGTAGAGAAAAACGCTAAACAGGGCATGGCAAGGCGAGTTAAATTTAGTGGGTTAAGATTAGTCTTTCTCTTTTCTGCCTCAATTCGTTTTTCGTCATGCAATTTTCGCATATTTTCGCATATTTTCTTCTTCATACTTTGAACACCCTTAGTAAAAATCCTGTATCTACCACTACTTGATACAATTTTAACTTCATCATACAATTAGACATTTTTTTGACTTTCTTTAGTTGGATTTTCATAATTTTCTACTGGGTATGTTTCTTGACTTTAAATAACATGAAAGTGTATCATGCCATCTTTTTCATGTATCACCTAACATAAATTGCAGATTATGAGTTGAATGTGTCCACAGCTACGCTAGCTGCTTTAAAACCAGTAAGCATGAAAAAATAAAGGCTTATCAGATAAGTCTATGATCTTTAGTACACGGACAATAAATTATTTGACATTTCTCTCTCTATATATATAGGCTACAGTTTTAATTATATATTCAATGTTTTAACCTTAGACCACAAACTTCATCAAACTGGAGATAAGAATGAGTAAAGATGAAATTTGCATATATAATTAAAAAAATATGAGTTTTTTTGATAAAAAATAAAAATATATATAATACATCACCAATAATGATATTACAC